GGCTTTACTTGAGGCATGAGGTGAAACCAAAAAAAATCTGCAGAGAACTCTATCTACATAAAAAGTCTTATTGCAATTTGGTTAAAATTTCACAGGAACTTCAGTTGTTCATACAACCCAGAAGTTAGAACTAAAAAAGTAGAACTAGAGTTCATTGTCAAGTTTCAGTATTCCTGTATTTCACTCACGTTAAAATCTGATGCAGGAATCTACAATATTTTACATATTTATCCTGACTAAAGAAATAGGAAAATCTCATCAGAGGAAACAGACTTGCTTATCCTAGTAAGTACTTTAAACACATTCTTCTTGATCCCCTTAATATTTCTAGAAGCTGCTCAAGAAGGCCTTTAGTTGAACTATAGTTGTTAAATTCAGGCATGTGGGAAATTCTACAACTTTGCACCTGGAGTAATTCCAGTGTACAACTCCAAAAAGGAAAGAGTAAATTCTGACAGTCTCTTTATTTATTTTTTTTTTAAATGATTTTGGAGAATGACTTAGCTGCACTCTTCCATATTCCTAATTAACTGGCATAAAAAAATGGACTGTTGTTCCATACAGCTGGAAATGGGCAAGTCCAAATGCTGATGCAAACGTCTTTTTCCCCACAGCTCATCATGATCACTATTTGGTTTGGATTAAGACGTGAGGGAGAAAAAGGATCTTATTTTAAATGTAAGGAAACGCATTAAAGATATTCAGTGAAGCCTGCACCATTAACTTCTTGACCTCACAGAATGTCGATTTTGACACCCAGGTGCATTTTGTAAAACAAATAATTTTACAAGTGCACATTGACATCTTACAGAAAAACAGTTAAAGCAAATGTTTGTTCATCCACTCCTCTTAAGCCACCAGCTTAGGTTCATATCACAGATGTAGCACTGGCAAAAGAGTACGGCTTTAAGATGGAGAGTTAGCAGAAGAATTTCCTGACTGGTGTTTTTTTAACCCAGTTTTTCTGTCTACTATAAACAACCCAGCAGTGCAGCAATTTTTGAAATGGCTGCCAAAATGTTTATAGTGAATTTGGAATATGAAACTTGAAATATTTAGTAGTTTCACATATACAGACATTATGTGGAAGGCATTTTTATGTTAAAAACAGTATGACTAGATGGTGGAACTATTTCCTGGTTAATTTTATTAAATTACCTTCACAGTGAAGTGACGGATGCTACATTCCCAGGAGGACTAAATGCTTACTACTGCCTTGGACGAAAACAAAAAAAAGGAATATATAAGTGCATATGGAATGTTATGAAATGAACCTTTTGATACTGAGTTAATATTATTCATCCAGTGCCATATCACGTTTGCAAACCAGTGCACAGTAATTTTAAAATTTAGGTAGGAGGGTATTTGTCTAATTAATGACTACAGCAAGATCAAGAAAAGGCCAGAATGGGGTGTCACATGCAAAATTCCCTTTATGGGCAAACATGAAACACACCATATATCCTCAAAAAGATCTGTGGACGGTGCTCATAAATACATTTTTTTCTTTTAGTGAGATGCTTGACAGGACCATGGGTACATGTATTAACTCTGTTCCCCCATCTTCTCTGATTATCGTATGCTGAATATAAAAGGACAGCCTCAAATTGCTGTAAGGGCTTCAGAAGGACTGACCCTTACAGTGCCGTAAGGGTTCCCAAAGGGCTGTCCTCCAAAATGCCCCAAAGGTTCACAACAGGGCTGCCTGCACTTTCCACCAGTTGTTATACTCCAGATCTTGTTTATAGGGAAAAAGTAAGCACACCTTATATAAAGCAAGAATGTTTTTGTTAGCATAATTAAAATATTAAGAGTCTAATCATTATTAATCCAGATATAATTGTTACCAAAAAATAAAAATACAGCTAGAATACTTCTATACAGAGAAAGCCTCCTCAACAGTGACAGAACAGTTTGAACTGTTACTCTCACACTGAGTTTCTACACCTTTTCCTGGTGCTGACTCTTCCATTGCTCTTCGGTGTCCCAAGGCTAGCAATTTCATTCTGGAGGTGCTTGGGTTTTATGATGAGCTGTCAGCACCTGGCATCCCTTCACCAAGAACAATATGATATTCAGGTTAATGCTTTCTTCTTCCTCACCTCAGGCTCCACCATGAGTAATTTTTATATTTGCTAACACACTTCTAACACCTTTGCTCTTTCTTCGTTAATCTGCAGCTCCGCAGAACCTCCCGATATTCCATACATGGAGCCTTTTACATGTATTACATGCTGTTCTTTTGTTCTCTTTGTTACCCCTAAAGCCAGTTTTGTCAGATCTAGGTCTGCATCTCTTTAATGGACTATTGGTGAGTTATTTACAGCCGTGGGGTCTCCAGTGCCAAGCCTGTGCCCCACCTCTTATCATCCCCTGCCTGGACTTCTCTACGCCACATCCTCCACCTCCAGTTCTCAAGGC